GCCTTCAACTTTATACATAGAGAATTAAAAACATTAGTGGAAGTTCGATTCTTACTCTTAACAGTTGTTTGGATCATGCTCCTAAGAAATTTTCCAAAGAACTCCACGAAAAAAGATCCTAAAGTACAAGTACAAAAAGTATTCCAAACTTCTTGGAGTTTTGAAGAGCAAAATGGAACTGACTACAGAGGAGGTTTGCAAAGAACTGGAATGCTTGAATGAGCTGTCGATTGAGTGTTTTTTTTTTTTTTTTCCAAAGTGGGTTAAAGCATCTACATTCATGCATCTACATCAACGTCTGCATTATTAAATTACAAACGGTTGTGTCAATAGATGAAAAATTAACATTTATCTGACAGCTGTAACCAATTTGTTCATATATTTTACCGGATTTTCTTATCATTTCGGTTTCTTTTAGATAGTGGTTGTGCAGCTAGTAATAAATAACATTTCTTCTTTACTTTATCGTGTTTGTATGATTGATAGATCAATTAGTGTGTTAGGATCAAACTTTATCGAGTTTTGTATTATTAACGGAACAATTAGTTTATGACACGAAAATGATCGTGTTATGATCACTAGCTTCATCCTCTAGAACCTTATTATGTCGTAGTAGTATCATTTTATATCATGTTAACCTCGTTAAGCATTAATGTACCTGCGCAAATGTACTATAAACAAGATGCAATAAATAAATGATTAATCTTTTCTATATTTTTAGTGTATCTACTCACAAGATTGGATAAATGTCACATCATTTGAATTTAAATTTGAACATCAAATTTTAAATACGTGATATGCACCTAAACTCGCTAGTATATATACTATTAGTGCGTACAAGATTTATTCATAGACAAAAATGACTTTATAAAAATTAGTTTCTATTTTTTTTAGAGGAAGGTCATTAAAGTGATAACTGATAGCCACATCACGAATCTAATTTTTGCAAGCCATTGTCTCTCTTGAAGTCTTCGTTTTAATCTTCGAGGATGAGACATGAAATGCATTAAGTTTTTTCATGGCATGGAGAATTGCTCAGGTACAATTCATTAGATCTACCATGATAGGAATTAGTTTAATTAATACCTATTGATTGTCATGAATATACATTGAAGTTTCTATATTAGATCCAGGTTGATCCAATAATATGATAAATTTTTTCAAAGAATCAAATTTGGAATTTTAATTTGAGTGTGTCAGCAAGCCAAAATAAATTATCATACTCTTGTTAAGAATAAACGGATTAAATATGTCAAATATAACACCGTAGATACGAGTAGATCAAACACGGCACCATATGATTATTACTTGGGTTCGGGTAAGCTCAGAGTTTCATGACATAGGATATGGATATATTAATCACAGCAGCATATGATTATTTCATGGTCACGTAAAGGTTAGAGTTTCATCACACGGACATGCTTATAACACGGCAGAATAATACACGACATGACTCGATTAATTGTGTTGTGTCTTAATTTACACGACGTGAAATTGCACCATTTTTTAATTTGGTAAATTTATTAGGGTAAACTTTGAATTGCAAATATCTATTGTATCTGTTAAATTATAAATTTATAATTTTTAGTACATATTTAACCTACCATTAGGATAGTGATATAAACCAAATCGTACTAAACAATTTCTAATGATCTGTTAAAAGAAGAAGTTGGTAACTAGATATTTGCATATCCGTAAGAGCGGTACATGTTTAGGCAAATGGAGAATTGGATTGTATTCACAACAATATAAAGATTTTTAAAATTCTGTGAATTCACCAATATGCAGGTGTTGTGTCCATTAGAATTTACCAATATATATGTATATATATATATATATATATATATATATATATATATATATTTTTTTCTTATGGAGCAAAATGAGGCGTTAAGGCTTAAACAGGCGACTTCATGTTGGAGTGTTGACTAACCAGTTACCACCTATACCACCAGTCTTTGCCAATTGATAGATAAATGTTATAAAGAGATTTGTATCAATTTAATCTTTCTAAACGTCTTATCTTTTTATTTTTAATCTTCTGATTTTTTTCATAAAACAACACTTATGTGTATTATCAATAGTAAATTGATGTACTTTACTAAATTGTTACGTAATTTACAATCAAATTAACATCTAAATAATCCTTTTCTTCGGGTTAATTTTCTCACTATAACCATCATACAGAATTTTGACTACATAGCATTATTTGTCTTTGGAATGCACTAGTATGTTTTAAAAAATAAGTCTTTCTTATGTGATATTACTTGTAATTTTTAAAATTTATGTTTTCTAATATTTTTATATCGCAGTAATTCTTTTAAATAAGTGCAATTTAGTACTAATATTTTCTTTGATACACTTGAATGAAATTCCAATTTTCTGCCTATGATGTTAGCAAATTATTTTTCATGAATTAGTCACATTTAAAAGTACATTAAATACCCAACTTTGGTACGTAATGTTCATAATTAACATTACCATTCAATATTTTGCTCATAAGCGTTATGTGTAGGGCAAAGTTTTTTTTTTTTTTTTGGAAGACATGTAGTCATCTATGATTTGTAGATTATTGTAGGACAGTTATGCAAAATCTCATAGACATTTACAATTGACATAAATCTTGTGAATTAACCTTAAAGAACTACATCCTAATAGCATATAATTGTATGGGAAATGTTTAGCAAATATAATTTGTTAATTTTTCTTGAGAAATCATGTATCGCTAAACACATTCATACAAAAGCTTAAAATAACAATCTTCAATGGCATATACATGAAGCAATCTTATCTATATTAAAAAGAATAAGTTAATAGATTATCATTAAGGTACTTAGTGGAGATAGGAAAAGGAAAGACCCAAAAAAGAGTGGGGAGTAAGGACTTTTCAAAAAAAAAAAGAGTGGGGAGTAAGGAAGTCAAAGATTCAGACCGAACAAAATGTCACTGAGCCCAATTAAGATTAGTGGGGCTATCGTTGGAGATAATTGGAAGGAGCCCAGCCCCTGACAGACCAGCGCCTGAAAGACTATTCCGGGAGAAAGGTGGAATGAAATAGGAAGCAGCAAAATACCACGCCAAGCAGCCCATCCCAACCGGATGGGTTGTTGGGCAGCAAGAAGATGGTATAACTCTAATGAAAGTAGGGTTGAAAACAAGACACGATGAGTCAGACAGAGGTATATTTAGGATTGGTTTGAAAATTAAAAAGAAAGTTTGAATTTGACTTGCGTTTAAAAAATTTTTGAAAAAAATTGATTGAGTTTGACTTGAAATTTTATATGTATGTTCATGAAAAATTTGACTTGACTTGTCAAAGTATCTATTCATGCACATGCAATCAAAACTCAACTTAACTTGAATTTCATGTTGTATTATATGTAGATTTTCACCCTAACTTGTTGCTTTTTTTCCCTTAGTTATTGCTGCTTGATATGCAAGAAATTTTTTACGACGAATTAGGGATGTGATTAAAATCAATTATGCCTATTTAAGAGACAATAATATTATATGCTTGCTATTTTAGAAAATAAGTAATTTGCAGGAAAGAAAGAAGTGGAGTTAAGGAAGGAAAGTATAAGTATATTTTTATGGAATTTATTTATCTTATATGTTTCTGAACATATCGAACTGAATAAAATGAAAATTGTGATTAGTTTGTTAATATTTTCGAGTTTGAAATCATGTTCGAGTTTGGAATTTACTTATCTTATATGTTTCTGAACATATTGAACTGAATAAAATGAAAATTGTGATTAGTTTGTTAATATTTTCGAGTTTGAAATCATGTTCGAGTTTGGATTGATACCTAAACAAATAAACTTGCATGAGCTCAATCGAGTTGTGTTCAAGTCGAATACCAAGTTAATTGGTTCGATTTACAGCTCTGAATGAAACAAATTTCAAGAATCAATGGGACTATTTTTAACAAATTGAAAGTTTTCCTTCCACGGTAAATATAACTTTAAATGTATAACTGTGTTTTAGTCTGCCATTTAAAACTTGCACATTGGCCCAAAAAAAAAAAAAAAAAAAAATCCACTGCACTTTTTTCTTGTTTGTTTGGTTTTGATGAAATGCTGTTTTTATTTAAGCATCATTAGCCCTTAAGTTTTCAATTGCTCTGCTAATACAATGATCTCTTATTAGATTTGACTCTTTTTTTTAGGATGAATCGTGTGATTGAAAATAGTTGTCTTGAAATTGTTATTCCTTGACCCTTTGCTTTGCGAAATTTAGAATCCAAATGCAGGGCTAGTAGAATATTCCTGGTTTTTTTTTTTTTTTTTTTTTTTTGGTACAGGCCCAAACGCCGATTACCTATAAATTAACTCCGGGATCGAAACCCTGCCTACATCCGTATCACCGATTAATTTCTACGAAATGAGCCTTTGGCCCTTCCGTGTGTACCAAACAAAAAATGGAGAAACAATTAAAATTGTCTGATCCAAATCTAGGGTTAAAAGAAAATTCAAGGCGCTTAATACTCGAATTGAGATTGTCTTGGAAGAATTTGTTTTATCTTGGATTAAGGAGACTCTTTCAGAGATTGAAGGTGGTTCTTTCAGAGTATATCTAATTTTGAATACTCTTTCTTAGTTCCCACGTGAAATTTAAAAATTTGATCCCCCAAGACCCAACACAATTGATAGGGCAATTAGCATGGTAATTGTAAAGTAGTACCTAATTCGATTGTCAATCCCTCCTGTGTAATAATGGGATTCTCTATTAAACTAAATAATAATAACAACAACAACAACAATCAAGAAGTTTTGCGATTTAGTATATGTTTTATGCAGGAGTCCAATTAAACATGTCACAGAATCCGGTCCTTATATATCATTAGCTCCTCTACCTTTCAAGGAGAAAAAATCAAGAAGTAAATAGAAACCATACTTCAGCAATGAACAAGTTCGGCTGTGACATAGCCGTAGGAACAGATTGTATGCAATTACATGATCCAAATGGACTTCTCTCTCCAATTCTATTAAATTCTTTCATTTATTCAGTTGTATACTTAGTCATCAAAATAATAAGAAGATGAAAATGATACCAATATACATTCTCATTATAGAGATATTGAAAATAATCAAGTCATACTCATCAAACAAGGGAAACTCAAAAAGTGTTTCAAACACATGGTTTGTAATCTGGCTAAAGCAGAAAAACATAAAATCTCCAAGTTGCCATCACAAGGAAGAAATCAACCAAACATTTTGAATTTACAGACACCCCTGTGAGAACTAATAAATCCCAGATATAACATAATCTAGATGCCCTTTTCCCATCTTCTTCACCTTGATCTAGATGCCGAGAATTCCATCTTCTGCATCTTGAAGAGAGGTCCACTTCTCTTTTCCTGAGGGCCAACTGAAACAAATATTGGCATATTAGTTTAACCAACTACAAGTAATGTAATTAGGTCTTTCAAGTAGATCTTTGTCACAATTGCTCAATAGGACTAACGTTTCCTAGGAACTGCATCTGACCAGTCACAAGTGACTACATAAATTGTTAATCAACAATAGAGCGGTTTCCTTAAGAAAACAGGAAATTGCAGTCATGTGTATAACTGAGTGGTGCGCCATTTCAAAGCAGAAATAAAATGATACAAGACTTAAACCTATTGAAGTTATGATTCAGGAGTAATATAATCATGATTTGAGTGGTGACTAGAACTTACAAAGTGCTGAGGATCCACTAAATTGGTATAGAAAAACTAACAAAAAGATTAAGTTTACACACCTGCAGATAAAATGACGTGCCAAATTTCTATCAGAAGTTAGGGAGGTGATCAGAAATCCATTTCCGAACGATCAATAAGGACCTTCAGCTCATTCCCCATGTCAAGTGATTCCGTCTGAAGCCGTCTCACAGACTTTCCAACAGATCTTGTGCACAATTGTACCTCAATCATCTCCAGAGTGCAGATTTCCCCAAAACCAGAGGGGACCTCCTTCAGCTGCCTGCAACTTCGCAAAATTAAGTGCTGAAGCTGTGGCAGGTGATCACTAGAGGCATTCCATTCAGCAAGGTTTAGACTGTCTAGCTTCAAAAATTTCAGATTAAGGAACTCCCCTTCTTTCATCTCCCATACTTTCCCCTCAAAGGCTTTAGAGAGTAATTTGAGAACCTCAAGGTTGGGCAGCTTTCCAATTTCCGAAATATATGACCATGGTAGGTGAAATTTCGACAGGGTCAACTTTCTGAGATTCAATGGGAAGTCAAATTTACAGGGTAGAGCAATCCTACCAGAATAGAGCAGCTTGAGAGACACGAGCTCCGTCAGAAAATTTAGTTTTGGAAACTGATTGCATTTCTCATTATCATCTGATAATTCAGAAAATGTGCATCTCAGTTTCCGAAGTTTGGGCAACCTCCTCATGATGTTCTCTGTACGTTCACCACAAGAGAGATATGGAGAGGAAAAACTGACCAGATTATGTAATTGAGAAGAACTTTTCCATATGCCATCTTGCAAGCTGAAGGCAGCATGATTAATTACATGGACATGTCTCAACTTTGCCATGCTCCAAATGGTTCTTGGTAATAAAACTCTACCTTTTAGTCCCTTTACAAGCAAGATTTCAAGATTTAGCAGCTCCGATATTGATTCAGGAATACTGTCTATATCACCAGAAAGGGCTAAATACCTCAGACGCACCATAACTTCTATTCCTGTGGGGAAAGCATGGCCCATGTTGATGCATTCCACATCCAAAACTCTCAGAAGCTTAAAGTTGTTCAAAATGGAGGAGATGTCATAAGGACACCATGGACGCATATCGCTGGTGGCAGAGTACAGTAGAGAGCGGACACACGGTCCACAAGGACTGGACATTACAAAATGCTTCCTCTTGGAAAAGATGGACACCCTGCGATTTTCGTATGTCGTGGAATTTGCAGGTAAGCAATAACCGGGATCAACTCCATAATCTAGGTCCTCATAAGTAGGAGGAAAAAGTTCATCATAACCATTTTGCCACTGCAAAAAGTTTTCCTCTTCGCACCTTCGCAGGCATAAGGTGCGCAACATGTCATGAACACGACACGTTTTGACTCCTCCATCCGATCTTCTTTTGGAAGCCATTACTAGGCTTCTACCAATTAGGTCCCTCAAGTACCTCTCTGCAACATCTTCTTTGCTTCCCAGCTGTGTAATTGCTATGAATCCTTCTGCTGCCCATAACCATGTCAACTTCCTAACTGGGATGTCTTTATCCTCCAAAAACACTCCAGTATACAGAAAGCAACGCTTCAAATAGTCAGGTAAATATGTGTAGCTTAGATTTAGGATATCCATGCACCTTGTTTCAGGATCATCAGCAATGCGTGAGCATATATTTTCTGAAACTTGTTTCCACCAGTCAGGTTCCATATCAGTTCTTTTAAGGAGACCAGATATTGCAACAAGTGCAAGCGGGAGTCCACCACAGCTTCTCGAAATTTGTTTTCCAAGTTCCAGTAGTTCATCAGGGCACCCTTCTGTGCCAAACAACTTTTTCTGCAACAATTCCCAGCTCTCATCTTCAGAGAATATACGAAGGGGATGAATAAAATTGTCTTCTTTAATTTTTGCCGCCACATCAAAGTGACGGCTGGTCATCAGTATTCTGCTTCCATTGTTGTCATCTGGAAATGATCTTTTGAAATCATACCATGCCTCAATGCTCCAGATGTCGTCCATAACAATGAGGTACTTATTTCTCTTCAGGCAACGGTACAATTTCATCTCCAGATCTGCATCACTCATTTCTAGGAGGTCATCAGTAAGTTCCACGGTGTCACCTAAAATCTGAAGAAGCAATTCTCTCTTCTGATATGCTTGGGAGACACAACACCATGCTTGAACGTGGAAGTGATAGGTAATTGAAGGATCGTTGTATACCTTCCAGGCTAAAGTTGTCTTTCCGAGTCCAGCCATGCCAACAATTGACACAACATCTAGTTTTCCTGATCCTGCTACAAGTCTATCAATGACCAATTTTTTTTCATCAGCAAGATCAATAACAGCTTCATCAATCTGGGGACTTTCAGCTGGTGATGATGCCCTTGTTGAAGTGGAGAGAACATTATGGATGTTGATGCCCTGTACATTCTTACAGGTTTCTGTTGCCTGAAACTTAATGATTCTGAGATCTTCCACAAGATCAGAAAGCCATAATGGATGATACCATCTCAAACAATCTCCAGCCACAAACAGATGAATGAGATATTCTGCCTCGAGTGTTACTTGTATAATGCATGAAGCAACACTCTTCAATTCCTGATGCTCATTATACTGTTCTTCAATGTACGCGAGGAATGATCTCAAGAACTTTATCTCTTCATGAACAACATGAAATTGATGTTTCACGGAAAGAATAGAATCAGCTTTAGACTTGAGCTGCTCGAAGAGATCTACTAGAAAGAAATCGATGCAGCCTAGTCCTTCCAACTTGGGGAAATTAGATCTTGATAACCTTCGATGAGGTAAGTAAATTTCTTTGATCATTGCATTGACATCCTTCATCTTTTCAACTAACCCCGGCAGCAAATGACTGAATTTCCTCACTGTATCTTCTGTAATTTCATTTTCAAGAAGAGAGTAATAGAAACAAGCTGCATCCCTTGCTACTGACTCTACTTGTGCCAAGATCAATTTCTCATTCTCCTCTAGTGGACCCATTAAATAAGTTCTGCTGACTACCAGCCCCTGATCAAGGCTTTTGATTTGGAGCTTCACATTGACTATCAGACTTGGGTGTTTACTAAGAAGCTCTTCAAAAAGTACCTCTGTCTTCAAAAGTTTAATCTTCTCCAGCAACTTAAGTAGCTCATCTGTGAACTTGTCTTCAGTGATGGATTCGGCAAGAAATGATCGACAAACGGAGTCAGCTTCCCCAGCCACAGGTTTGATATGCAACCAAATCAACTTAGGAACTTTAGTTTCCGCCACAGGTGCATTTCTCTGGTAATCTCGAAAATACTTCAGTTCATTGTGGAAAGAATCAATTTGATGCTCAAGGAACTTTAAACTGCCTCTATGGTTTAGCAGTCGGATCAGGAAGACCTCTGCCCTTAGAAGCTCCATCTTTTCTACCAAACTAAAAAATGCAGGATCGGTGTCCCGTGTTTCCTCTGTATCATGAAATGAATAACCGAAAGATCCAAGCTCGATAATGGTTGCTTTAATCTCCATTAAAGTCAGCTTCACATTATCGTTCCTGTAGAGATCTGACACACAAATGGAATGGACAAAGAATATCAGGTCTTTGAGACTTCTGCGCAAGGTTTCGTATCGATAATACTCCTTAGGAATGAGAAAATAAATATATGCTTTCACCAGATAATGAGGTGATGATATCGAGGAGTGGCATGAACAATAACCGGTAGTTAATTTGAGACACAGCTCTGAAACTTGTGGAGTATTAGGCTTGAACGCCTTTACCAGATCAGAAAGCATGATGATCATCCCCTGGTCCTTGTCTTCATCCATTCGATGAATCCAGCACACATAAGAAAAATGCGCTGCGCGGACAAGCACACCTCCAAAATGAGTCAAGAGATCTCTTTGCAGATTTGGACAAGTACCTTGCATTCCCTCGACATATCTATGGAGACATTTTACCATATCATACATGGTACGAAGTTGTGAGCAGAGGCGGCATAGCAAGTCTCCTTGCCTCCGCACAACACCCAGTAAAGTGTCACAGAAGTTTTCCCAGTTTTCATAATTGTTTAAGGGATGCTGGGATTCAAATGAATGGTTGGATGCAACATATTCATAAGCTACTTCCATTTGTGGCCTAAAAAACATAAGCTTCTGTTGCAACTTAGCAATTGCAATTTCAATCTTTTCATATCTTCCTGCACTCTGATGTGCAACTCTTACATCACTTGTTGCCTCGTCAACTGCAGCTTCAATTTCCAGCACCAGAGACCCCAACCCCTGACCAGCACCGCGCTGCTTATCAGCATTGTTCCAATTTGCCATGTACATCTGAAACATTCCCAACAGTTCTGCTTCTATTCTAACGATCCCAACTTGATCGGTAATAGCAGAACTACGTTCTGTAAAAAAAGTAAAACTTGTACAATCGTCCAACTCCAAAAAGAGAGAATCAAAAACATCAGTGGATGTTCGATTCTTACTCTTAACAGCTTTTTTTCGGTTCTTTTTCTTGACAAGTTTTCCAAAGCACTCCATGGAAAAAGATCCCGAAGCACAAATAGCAAACTTAACAGCTAGCTGAGAAAAACTATTTTAATCTTGCTGGAGTTTCAAGACTGAAAAATAACAGTGGAATTTTGTAAAGAAAATGAATGTTTGAAGAAATTGTTGATTGAGATATTTTTTTGAGCTGGTTAAAGCATCTACATTCACACGTCTACATAAAGATCTACATTATTGCAAAAGGTCGTATTACTAGATGATCAATGACCTTATCTGGCAACTGTAACCAATATCTGTTCAAACTTTTTCGGACGCTTTTTATCATTTCAGATCCCTTTTAGATTGTGGTCTCCTTCTGTCTTAATCATGTCCCTTCTCCATGGACTCGGGGCAAATTTCCTCTTCATCAACAGCGCGTAACTTCTTTTGTTCACCGTGTAACTTTTTTTCCACAGGTTGTATTTTCACAACAGATAGTGGTGGGTCTCACACTTGGCGCGGAAATCGAGTTACCACTTGTTATCTGAGCCGCACATTTTTTTGAGGTCCAATCTGGACCATGAACCGTGCAGGGACGGTCATACTGATGACCGTCCCTGCCCCAAATCCCTTCTCCATTATGTGGTTTGCCAGTCTTTCTGAATTTTTTTTTTGACCTTTCTCAAATTGGCCGCGTTTGTTTGGATAGAGTATTATTTAAAATATTATTTAGAATAATTATTGTAATATTTTTTGTGATGTGATGTATGTGAGATAAAAAGATAATTGAGAATATAAAAATGTGAGTTGGAAAATGTGTTTATGATGTAAATGAAATATTATTTGCGATATTTGTGCCATCCAAACATGTTTTACTCCCACATGTTTAGTTTTTGTACTAAATTGGTTCCTAATTGCATGGTTTGACATGAATACAGTGTTTTTTAAAAAAAATTCTAATTTTAGACAATGTAGATTTTCTTTTTCCTTTTTTCTCCTCACATTTCTTCCATCTTTTATTTTTCTCTGACAAACTGGAATAGGGGTGGAAGTTTTTTAAACCGGACATAGGCACGGAGTTAGTGAATTAAAATTCAACTTTATTCTGTTTGTGCTATTAATGGGTAAAATAGTTGATGACACGTAAATAATTGTGCGCCAGCTTCATTTGTCATAGTAGTTTCATTAAATTATCATGTCTACCTGGTTAACCATTGATGTACTCGAGTAAATTCAAGTCACATAAGAACGCAATAAATAAAATTGAGGGTAAAATACACTTTACTCCCATGTCATTTAGCGCTTTTTCATATAACCCCCTTATAATTTCAAGAGTCATACATAATTCCCTCATAATTTGGATTAAAATGTCAAAATAACGGAATTTGCATTCCATAACGGAGTTAACTAAAATATCAAAATTATCCTTATGTAAAATGAAAAATTATTTATTAACTATGGAGGATTATTTATATATTTTAAAAACCATAAGGGGGTTTTATGGTAAAACACAAAATCATAAGGGGGTTACATGATAAAATATAAAACCATACAGGTGAGAGTGTTATGTATATTATATTTATATCTTTTGGTCAATTTAACCGTTTTAAATTTTAAACAAGGATAATTTTGATATTTTCATGAGTTCCGTTATAAATGATGATTTCTATCATTTTGACACTTTAATCCAAACTATGAGGAAATTATATATAACTTTTAAAACTATAGGAATGTTATGTGACAAATTACTAGACCACAGAGGTGTAAAGTGTATTTTACCCCAAAATTGACTGTACTAATCTTAATTTTCTTGTCTTTTTCGTTTTGCTTTAGAAAAAGTAAGTAATATTAAAGTCATTACCTCACTTCAAGTCTTCGTTTTCGTGTTCTAGGACGAGACATGAAAGTTGAAGCCAAAAAAGGACTCAATTTTAGCACTTTTATCTACTTCTTATCCTAATCCTAAGAGAATAAAAGCGCGAATGGCCTTAGGAACAGTATAATTGGTCCCTATTGATACCTTTAATAGGTGTCCTTTTTATCATTTCATACTTATTGGTGGGACTGCTGGGTTTCGCTGGAGCTGAATTATGCTCACCATGTTAGCAAATTATGTGGTGCTTCTCATATGCTTTTGCCACGTGAATTTTCCGATCCCAGACTCTGAAATGTTACGGTCTGAATTGTCTTTTCCATACAACAGCAGAAGGAACAAAAGAAAATATGTGAGTGCAATCCAAACATCTGACAGTAAGTGGTGACTGACTGCCGTCTACAACCTTGTTACCAATGTCACTTCCCAAATTGAACCTCCTCCACTATCACAGACTTTTATGCAGGGGCGGAGCCAGAAAAAAATTTTAGTGGGAGCAAAAATAACACTAAAATTTTTTTTCCACTAAAATTTTTTATCTACTCTTTTTCCAATTTTTTTAAGCAAAAAAAAAAGTCTCATGCATAAAATCACCGTTTCACAAGTTAAAATATTTATCAAATAACTCATTTATTAGTTATTACATTAACTAATCAATTTTTAAATTTCTTTAAAACAGTAATAGTCTCATGCTCTAGAAATATATTTGCAAACAAATTTAAAATAAAATAATAAGAAGTAATTATTTAGAACCTGATTTTGATGGTCTCCTAAAGTTGGTGAAAAGAGCTGCAAAATGTGGCGGATCTAAGTCCTAGAAGATTAATTGATTCTAGTGCAATCTCTAAATAGGATGAAGTGATCAAAAGAAAGAATAACAAGCTTTGGTTGTGGGAAAAAAAATGGTTCTCCTATGTATGTTGGGGAGTGGGGACAACCGAGAGCCAGATGAGGAAAGGGAAATTGGGGAGTAGGGACAAAGGAAGTAAATGATAATTGGATGAAGTAACAAAAAGAAAAAGTAGTTGGCTTGGGTGTGGAAGAAGAGGAGTCGGTTGTGAAGGGAAATGGGGGACCACAGGAGTAAAGGGAACTTGGAGAGTGGGGACCAAAAGAAATGACTGATATAATTGGTACTTAACCCTGTTGGTGGGAAAATGAGAACTAGAGGAAGAAAGTAAATGATATAAATTTTGTGACCCATTCTTTCACATTTTTTCTAAAAAAAATTCTGGAGGCACCTTTAAAATTATATCAAAATTGTAGATGTATTATAGGAAATTAAGGGGGGCAATGGGGGCCCGTGCCCCCACTTTAAATCCGCCCTGCTTTTATGATTTATTTTTGAATTTTCTTTATTTTCCCATCTATTGTTGAATTGAATATTCAACAGAAGATGAATTATGATTTCATATTTTTTTGCCTTTTTTCCTTATAAAAAGTTCGATTTTTAAGCTTGATTTGTATCGATTTTTTTCCCCTATAAAAAATTCCTAACTCTCTTTGTGTAATTTTTCATGTATTAGCTCAACGATAATAACAAATATCATGAAGAACTACGATGATTAATGATGTTGAATCATAAAGTATTAGTGTGAAAGTATCTATAGAAAGACTCTTATGTATGTAAATATAACAGTTTATCATTAACCTATATAATCGCTATTTCTATTTAACTTTAATGTGTTCAACTACAGTAATACTGTGTTTTCAATTTATCATGACTCTTTTGAACACATATCAATTGTCATATGTGGGCAACCTGGCGCCTTGCGCAAGGCCCGAATTAACTAGTACTCTTAAAGAGTTGATGGTTCCTTAATGCACCTCTGAAAGTTATATATAGATTATTGCGTTCGAAACTTCTTTTACTACAACTTAGTGACCTAGGAACATGGAGAATGGTTAAGGTACAATTCGTTATATCCATCATGATATTAATTAGTATATATACTACGGGTTGAATATCAAAAACCCCGAGAAAATTCCCAAATCATGGTAGCTACTTATTGAAATTAATTTTTTTAGATGCGAAGGTTATAAAAAATGTACTTAGTAAATGCGTTTTAAAAAAAAATGCATTCGTTAAATGCAACGTTCAAAAGTTTATGCCTAAACGAATCAAAACTCAAAAGGTCACATTTAGGGAATGCTACTTTTGCAAAAAGCTACATTTGCTGAATATGCATTTCATTATTTGGGAATTGTTTGAACAACATTGCCCACTGAGAATTATTCTTAAAAACTGTCACTCTTTGGTAATTCACTTCAAAAACCCCCTATTGTATTGTAAATGTTCAACTTACCTCCTTATAATTTAAGCCCTTGTAGTTTGTAGGTTTTTTGAAATTATGGAAAAAAATCATTAAAAATAATGTTCGCAAGCAAAACACCACCATTTCCCCATACAAATAAATATGTTCAATACCAAAAATACCTTTGTGGCTTTGAGAATTTTCATCTTACTTCCTTAGATTTAAAAACTTACAATATAGCCTCATGTGGTTTATAAGTCTTTGAAATGCTGCTCGCTTTTATGAATCAACAATGGCGGACCCAAGATTTTAGTTTAGGTGGGGCGAAAGATCAATAATATAATACCAAAACAAATTCTGTAGAAAGTAAAGCATACTAAATAAAAAATAAAAGCTCAATAGGCTATAAATAGAAATAAGAAACTTTTAAAAAATAAAGACAAAATATAAAGAAAAATGTGAAAATTCAACTCTGTACCATTGTATTTACGATGAATGTGAGGTGTTCAAAACTATGATTGAAACTTTTTCAGTTTATGTGATGATCCCACCTCTCCTTAGAGTGAATCCAAGGGTTTGATGGACCGTCTGTCCAACTCTCACCGGGACTCACTCACTAGCATTCTCGAAAATAGTAAGGTTCTCAAATCAACCATAATTCAACTTCATTTACAAGTCAAAAGTGAAATGTAGCTTTACATTGCCAAATATCCCAAATATATTAAATCCATAAAAGTACAAGTACAAGGAACTTATACACACTAGATCACGCTTAGTTGCTCCAGACCTCCACTTCCTGTAAGGAAAACAAAACTAAAGGAATGAGTTAAAAGTCCAGTGAGGTTCCTAAACAAGCAATCAGGTAAGGAAACCATGGAAACATTACATTTAACAATTTGCATACTTTCCACAGTAATATCCAGTCATTCAAGAAATAAATATTCAATTATTGGAAGGATACGTGCTCACTTGGACCCATTCATTCATTCAGTCATTCAGTCTCCAACCATTTCCCTTATTCCTCCGATATTTAAAAACCTTTAACAGTGAAAACTCATTCAGTGTTCATGTCATTCATTCATTGATTTCTTTGTATTGAATTCATTGGCCAGTTCTCTACCAAACTTTGTGGTAATACTCGAGTATACCAAACATTGTCTCAGGGTCATCAGCCGCCCGACCGAGTCCGCTTCTGGCTCGAATCGACTGACAACAAAGGGCAAGGGCTCAGTTCAGCTAAAAGGTTTACATTCATGCACAAGTAGCATTCAATCATTGAAAATTCACTTTTGCGTGGGTCGAGTGTGATAAAGTACACACTCGCCCATCAAAAATCCATTTAACAATAATTAGAAAGCATTTAACATTTAGGTAACATTCACAACATTCCACATAATCATTTAAAGCACACACATGCAAGGAATACTCACCTTTTAAAGCAGACCAAAGCTAAACGTTCGACTCCGAGTCGTGCTAGTTTCCACCGTTAAACCCTAAAAGTAACCAAGACAAGATGTCATGGTCCGATCATTTAAAACTTAGGTTAATAAGATGCTCACTTTAGCCTTACTCATGAGCCATACGCCTATCTAGAATCAGCCCCTCAAAACACAAACTCAAAGACAAATTTAAAAGCCAATCAAAGAATGTCCAAGTATATTCTAGGACTATGAAGTATACTTGTTTAAGGCTACAAAACCATCCAAAATCATAGCAATTAAAGTTTAAAACCTAGAAAAGTTTTCTCAAAGTTTTTCAAGTTCCACTCAATTCATTTGACAAAATTTCCAGCTTTGGCGGCATTCTTTGAAAAAGTATAACTTGAGTTCCGTAGGTTGAACAATCACAAAACTTGCACCATTAGAAAATAGACTCAAAGTACTAATAGACTTTAGAAGACATCTTCATGAAATTCAATTCATAGGTTAGTCAAATTTTCAATTCAAAATCACTGCTGTCTCATGTGTAAAACAGAACAGTCATGGTTTTTCAAGAAACTTTGTAAATTTTCTGGTATTTATAGGAGTTGAACCAACCCCTGATTTTTACACGGTTAAAATATCTATGAATCTAGTTTCAAATGCAATAAACGGAACTCAATTTAGATTTTTTTACACCAAGATATAATAGATTTTCAAGACTACTTGAAGTCTCTTGCGGAAAAATTTCAGCAGTACTTCCTTTGTGTTTACTAATTTTTTCAGCCATTTCAAGGCTACATTTTCTTCTCAAATCAACCCACTCAACCCCACAAGACAGCCACAAATCAAGTTCATAAGGTATAGGATACATAGAGTACTTATTTTAGCCACAAACTAGCTATAATCAACATATACCTAAGCTGGAAAATTTTCTATCAAGGCTGAAATTTCACAACTAAAGTTAGGAAGTCCTATTTTGAAGCTAAAATTTCATACCAAAGATAGAAATCTTCATATCTCAACTTTCATATCCAAATCAAAGCTAGAAACTCCTAATTCATGGCTGGACAATATAACTAAAAGCTGAAAAATTCCAATAACAACACAAATCCGTAAAACCAGCCACAATACTTCTATATTCAAGTCATATGCCTACTTAAATGCAAGATTAAAGGGAAAAAGTAGTTCCTTACCAAGATTACCTTCAATTCCTAAGGAGAGTAGCAAATCACAGCTTTCTTCCCTCAAAATGACACCACACCAAGCTTCTTCCTTCCTTGTTGCATCCTTCTATGGATGGATTTAGGGTTTAAGGTTGATTTCCCCACAAAATCAAGATGGAACTTGAAGAAATTTTCTCTACTCTCTAATTTCAGCCATGACAAGAAAAAATGAGAGAAAGCTTGGCCAAAAGAAAGATCAGAAGGAAAGAAAGCTTTCTTAGTCAACATGTTAGAATTTATATGATAGTTAGAATTTTTTTTTGTTATCTTTGATTTCTTATGTAACATGTACAGTGCTATCTTAATTGCTGCTTTAAAGCTGCCTCTGCATGTCCCTACCCCCTATGCCCATGCTGAGAATCAACAATCTTCACCATCGGCTTCCTTTGACAATCATGAAATCTGTATTGACATCTCAAACCCCAATCCTGCCACCCCTCAATTGGTTGAGAAGACATAAGAAATATGTTTTGCATATATTGCTTGGCTATGCCAACAAAATAGATAATTTAAATCCCTATAATCGATGTAACAATATTCAATTACAGAATTTAAAATTGGATAAATTACATTTTATCTATCTGTAATTTAGTATTTTTATACACAAGCTCCCTATGATTTCAAAAATTATAGATAACCCCTCATGATGTGAATTAAAGTATCAAAGTAACAGAATTTGAATTCCATAATGGAGTCAACTGAAATGTCAAAAATATCCTTATATAAAGTCGAAAATTATTTATTAACCACAGGGAGTTATGTATATATTTTTAAAATCATAAGGGGGTTATATGGTAAAACACTAAACTATAAGGGATTTATATAATAAAATATAAAATCATACGGGATTAGAGTGTCATGTATTATGTTAATATATTTTGGTCATTTCAGTTATTTTAGTTTTTAAACAAGGGCAATTTTGACATTTTCATAGGTTGCGCTATGAATGATCATTTTTGTTATTTTAACACTTTAATTCAAACAATGAGGGGTTATATATAACTTTTAAAACTATAGGGGGTTATTTAAACCATAGCTATATCACATGGGGTAAAGTGTATTTTGCCCTTTAAAATTTTAACCTCGTGTCCCAAGTTAATGACATTGAATATGAACAAGCAGAAGCCTGATTTCTCTTCAAATCTACTATTTTCTCTTCTCGAAGATTTGGACGAACTCTAAATTATGATTTGGGAGTTTATTTTACATCAACTATTGGGCAAATCAAGCATTACTTATAGTTAAAAAAAAACTTTTTTTTTACCAAAAAAACTATAGCACCAGCCACACGTTCCTTAAAAATTTGGTTGTTTTTGATGATTTTCCTTGCAATTTAAAAAACATACATGCTGCGAAGGGTTTAAAATAGGGTGCATTAGAATTGATTTGAGTTTGAGTAGTACTCGAGCTCTACTCAAGTTAAAATAATTGAGTTCAAACTCGTTGAATTTTGAAAAGTCGAGCTCGAGTTCAATTTCAATTTATCTTACTTGAGCCCAAACTCAAACTCAAGCTTAATCGAATCTAATCAAGTCTAATCAAACTCACCTAATATAAAATAATGTTATATATATAATCTTAAACAAGGGATATAATTGACATTTTTATACTAATAAATAGCAAAACTTAGAAAATATATTTATTAGCAACTCGATTAGACTCTTCCAGCAGACAAGCTTAGAAATTTAATATGAATTTGACTCTTGGGGTGCTATCAAGCAGCTCAAACACGACTTGAGATCGGTCAACGCTTACTTCAAGTAGTGTAGTTGACCAAAGTACTTGCGAGATTGAGTCGAGTAAATCTCACAATAGCTTGGTCAACTAGCACCCCTAGTACTTTTGTTAGAAAATTAGTTTAATTTCTTTTAATCAAGATTTTTATTTTGTGTGAGAAGTAACTAGTTTTCCAATTGGTTTTAGTTACTTGAATTAGCAGCCAAGGAATTTCTTATTTTGTTTAGGATTTAGAAGTTATTTCCTATTTTGTAGAAATGTAAGAATTAGTATTGGTTTCCTATTGTTATTTGTTTTTTAGCTAAATAATGTTCTCTATAAATAAGTAAATTGGCATCCTACAAAGACACATAAGAAAGGAGCGAGAGAGTTCTTAGTACGTGAAAGAGTTATATAAGAGTTGGACTTGAGAATCAAACTATAATCTTGTAGTATTTTTTTCTCTCATAGTAAGAAAAGTTTTTCTCTCCGTGGATGTAGGATTGGTGATTAAATCGAACACGTTAATTCTTGTGTGCTGCTCATCGTTCGTTCTAGTTATTGTTTTCTATTCAATTGTTGATTTTTCTTTTTCTATCTCAAATAGTTTGCCTGATACCCTAACAACTTTAAATTTAGGTTTCAAAACCATAAGCAGATAAATTAAACATTTTTAAACCATGAGGATCTTTGGAACGTAACCCATTTATCTATACGGGGCAATTTTTATATTTTATTTGCCAAAGTTAGTTTTGACGATTTCTGTTGATATATTAAAAAACTGACAAACTAACAATTTCTATCAATATTTTAAAAATTTACAAACTATGAGAGATTAAATTATAGATTTGTAAACTATAGGGTGGTAAATCGAATATTTGCTAAATCAAATGGGGCATTTTTGGTATTTAACCCAAATACTGTCTATCAGATCTAGGTTGATCCAAAAATATGATTAGCTAGTTTTTTCCTCGTGCATTTGCACGGGGCATTTTGCATCCAATAGTACAATTAAAAATTACAGCATAAAATTTGAAAAATCTAAATCTTCATTTAATAGATAAACTACTTTTGTCACTCAATATTCAAAAAGAGTTTGAGAATGAAAACGTAAACTTTTTCTTCACCTTGAGTGAATGGAATTGAATTGATGGCATTCAGATATAAGCTAAAATTAAGGCATCAACTCATGAAAAAAAATTAAATTTCAAAGTGTTACGAAAAAACATGTGACCAAACTCAATAATGGGAGCAAGGAAAAAAGAGTATTAGAGGTAGTGATATGGAAGAAAATAAGGGAGAAAAAATATATAAGATAGAGAAATATCAAATAAAATATAATAAATTTCCTAATGGCCTTGTCATCAATAATGAGGCATAATAGGATTGAATTAATAATCAAGTCAAGTAATAGGAATAGAAAAATAGAAAAAATGTTACTAATTATAAATTTCCCTAATCACGGGTAAAAGAAAGAATATTGTGATTGAAAAAAGAGAAATAAAACTAGGGCCCATGGGTTGAATGATTGATTGACTAATTGATTAAATGAGAAGAAAGGTATAGTCAGTACAAACATGTAAAAAGTGAGAGAGTAATAGGTTGATTGGAATTTAGAGAACATAAAGGTATAGTAATAAATGATAGGAAAAATAGTAAAAATTATTGGAATGATTAGTGTTTTAAAAGATGAAGGTGTTAGGCAAGGCATTTTATGTCTTCCCAAATGGGATAAAAATCATAAGGTATGAGGCGTAACCCCCACAAAAATTTATTTTTTAAATATTTAAAAATATAAAAATACGAATACATATATATATAAATATAAAATACTAAAAACACAAAAAAAGATTTGATAAATTAAAGAAAAACAGCAACCTTATGTCCACATAAGAAAAGTAAAACCTATTTGTGCGACTAATGCTATGTTATGGGCAGAAGTCAAACAAACCACTGTAAAATTGAATGATAATTTGCGCAAGTCTTGTCATCTAGCAAACTAATTATCACAGTTGCGCAACTCTTAACAGTTGTGGTCTTAGACTAGTAGAGCGTGTGTCATTTCCCTGTTTCTTTAGAGTATCCTCAATATGAGGCACAACGTTTTGAAGTTTCACCTCCTTTACATCATTAAATTCCAATTTAAATAAAACATAAGAAAAGTACTATAAATAAAACAAGTTCAGCTTTAGGGTCTCAAGTTCCTTAAGCAAGCAAAGAGAAAATTCAGTTTGAATGTTCTTCTAGAGTTTAAAAAAAAGGGTAAAAGGTGCTGGAATATTAATGACGTACATTTATTGTGCCTTGAAAAAAAAGTCATCCAAACGCCCAGGCGTTCGTGTCCCATGACACTAACGTCCCACCTCATTTGGCCGCCAGAGGCAGGTTGGGAATGCCTTGTTCTGGGACTCGCCCCGGGCATGCTTTCAAAACACTAGGGATGATAGAAAAAAATGAAAGTTGGTTCAACTTTCTTTCTAGTACTAGATGATCACGCCAATAAAATGAATAGAGAATTAAAAATGAAAGCTAGGAGTTGATTGGAAAAAAAAAGGCATAATTAATATAAATGCATAAGGTAGGTAATTGATAATTAATTGAAATGTACCATAAATAATGTAGAGAAAAAAACTGCAAATTAATTGTTATAAAAAAAAAGAAATAATTTCACCAAAAACCATAAACAGACATAAAATTTTTTCCATGTGGCAAAAACATAAGACATCTACTTGGCAGAACGTAGATTTGTGCAACTCAATAACCTACCATATAGGGAACTGAACATTATATATATATATATATATATATATAGTAATGTTATTTGCACTCCCCATATGTTATTTATAGTCCTACTATCCCATTTTTATTTTGATGAGACCATTTTACCTCATCTCTAATTTCATCTCCTTGCCTATGAGTTAATTTTGCTAGATTTTCTCTTACATTTTAAACCAATTAATTATTTGATTACATATTAAAATGGCTAATTTAAAATTGTCACTAATATGTATTATGTATTTTCTACAAAACTTCATGAAATTATATGATGCCAAAGATTAATCTAGCAATATAATATGAACAAATTACAAACTTCAAGCCTAAAAATAAATAAATAAATTCCAAGCGTCAAAGATGACCAAAAACTGAGTACACTATAATGTCTCATAAATAGGACACTAATATTTCAAAAAATCTACCAAGAATAACTCATATAGCCACTATAGAGGGAATGAAGCTTTCTAGTGTTCTTCAACAAAAGCATAACATCATCTAGTATCCAGATAATGTAATGGAACCTCAAATGTGCTCATAAAAAATCTGCAAAATTGAAATTGAAATAAGAATAAGAAAAATAAGTTAAAAAATTGTTATGTAGATTTAGAAAAAAAGAAGCAAAAGTTAAATTTTTTTACCTTCTGAACATGTATGATAATTTTGCCCAACTTCCGTGCATGTGAACACAGGATAG